TGGAGTCAGCAGAAGTAGGCTCACATAGATTATCGGGCCCATCTGAAACATACAAAGTCAGAGCATAGAAAGTAAAGACATAAAATGACATCACTTAATTCTGGTCAGGGTGCCACCTCTTGACTCGAGTGTGATGTACCCATGAATCAATTCCTGGCACTTTGACAGCTGTGGGAGAAGAAAGAATAACCTGGTAAGGGCCTTCCCAGAGGGGCTCAAGGGATGGGCCCCCAGACCCCAATGTTTTTATGAGGACCTCGGTTCCTGGCTCAAATAGAGGCTTACTTGACTCAGAGGCTGGGACAGGAGTCGTCTCCCGGAGTTCTGTTAATGCCTGTTGAAAAGCTGAGAGCTGAGTTACATAATTAGTTAATTCCAAGGCTTCAGGGTCTATAACAATGCGCATAAGAAAGGCCTTCCATAAATACATTCAAAGGGGGACAGTCCCTCCTTTTTGAAGGGGCACTTCGAGCCCTCATTAAAGCTATGGGTAGGACTTTAATCCAATTGTCCTGTGTCTCTAGAGTTAATTTGCACAGATGTCTTTTGATAATGTCATTAGCTTTTTCAACCTTTCCTAAGGATTGCGGTCTCCAGGAACAGTGTAAGTGATACTCTATTCCTAGAGCTTTAGACACCCCCTGAGTTACAGCAGCTTTAAAGGCGGAGCCATTGTCACTCTGAAGGCTTCCTGGAAGTCCAAACCTGAGGATAATTTCATGGATTAAAACCTTTATAACCTCCTTAGCCTGTTCACTACGACACGGAAAAACCTCAATCCATCCAGTAAAAGAATCAACCCAAACTTGTAAGCAAGACTATCCATTAGCTTTTGGCATATGAGTAAAATCAATTTCCCAGTCCTCTCCAGGATACTTTCCACTTCATTGTAATCCAGATTTTGCTAGCTTTTCAGTCTTTGGGTTATTTTTCTGACAAACCTCACACCTTTTGATAATGTTCTTTAAAGTTTTCATTACATTTTTACATTCAAACAAACGAGGAGCCATCTGGTAAGTACTCTCTGCACCCAAATGAAAACTCTGGTGTAAACCCTTAAGAATTTTCCATTGAGCACTTTCAGGAATTATTAATCGTCCATCCTCAGACTGTAACCATCCTTTATCAGTAATCTTTGCTCCTCTTTTCTCATATCTTTCTAATTCTTCCTCAGTATATTGTGGTTTTTCCTGTTCCACGGGACCTGTCCAGATCAAACGCGTCTGTAGTGAGGGGGTTTCCTGAAATGCGGCTTTTCTGGCTTGACAGTCAGCCAGCTAATTACCTTCAGCTACTTTACTCCCATCCCTGCTGTGCCCTTTGCAATGCATAACCGCTACTTCTTTAGGACAATATATAGCAGTTAAAAGTCTCTTGATCTCTGAAATGCTTAATAGGTTCTCCTGTTGCTGTTTTTTTTTTTTTCATTTATTTTTATTAGTTGGAGGCTAATTACTTTACAACATTGCAGTGGTTTTTGTCATACATTGAAATGAATTAGCCATGGATTTACATGTATTCCCCATCCCGGTCCCCCCTCCCACCTCCCTCTCCACCCGATCCCTCTGGGTCTTCCCAGTGCACCAGGCCCGAGCACTTGTCTCATGCATCCAACCTGGCCTGGTGATCTGTTTCACCCTAGATAGTATACATGTTTCGATGCTGTTCTCTTGAAACATCCCACCCTCGCCTTCTCCCACCTGTCTTTCCTTCCATATTGCAGCATGAGCATGTAAAGTCAAATAAGCATACTTAGAATCAGTGTAGATATTTACCCGCTGCCCTTGGCTTAGCTCTAGAGCTTGGGTCAGAGCCACAAGCTCCGCTAACTGAGCACTGGTTCCCTGGGGGAGAGATTTTGCTTCTAAAACCTGTTCAGCAGTCACCACGGCATAACCTGCTTTACGCTTTCCATCCCGAACAAAAGAACTGCCATCTGTAAATATTTCCATGTCAGGATTGTCTAATGGGGTATCCATTAGATCTTCCCGAGCTGCATAATTTAAAGTTAGGAATTGGGAACAATCATGATCAGGTGTTTCATTTTCCTTCTCAGGAAGGTAAGTAGCAGGATTTAAATTTCCACAAACCTTAAGCTTAGTTACTGGTCCTTCTAACAACAATGACTGATATTTAAGAAGCCTACTGTCTGTCATCCAAATATTAACCTTAGAATTTAAGATTCCACTCACATCATGAGAAGTCAGTACAGTAAGTTTTCATCCATTAATTATTTTTAAAGCTTCAGGTGCTAATAAAGCCGCTGCCCCAATTACTCTTAGGCAGTGGGGCCACCCACGTGAAATTACATCTATTTCTCTGCTTAGATAAGCAATAGGTTGCTGGTGAGGCCCTCGGGGTTGTGTCAAAACTCCCAAGGCCACACCTTTTCTTTCAGTGACAGACAAATTAAATTCTGACCCTGTGGGCAAGCTCAGAGCAGGAGCTTGCAGGAGGGCAGTCTGAAGAACCTTAAAAGCCTTTTGAGTATCTGGAGACCAAACCAGTTTGTCAGTTTGGGCCTGCTGAGTTTCAGCTATAAGTTTATATAAAGGCTGGGCAAGTTCCCCATAACCCAGAATCCAAATACGACAGTAGCCTGTGATTCCCCCAAATCCTCTCAGTTGTCTTAAGGTCATAGGTAGGGGATGATTTAGTATAGGTTTAATTCTCTCGGGGCCTATGGCCCTAGTCCCTTCTGATATGATTAGGCCCAGATATCTAACGGAATGTTGACAAAGCTGAGCATTCTCTCTTGATGCCTTGTAACAGCAGCCTGCCAGAAAGTTTAAGAAATCTTCTGAGGCTCGTGAACAAGCTTCCTCTGTCTCAGCACAGAGCAAAATATCATCTACATATTGTAACACCGCCGCTTTGGAGCTATTAAAGTTTTGTAGATCCCATGATAAACTTTGTCCAAATAAGTGAGGACTGTCACGAAATTCCTGGCGCAAAACTGTCCAGGTTAACTGAGAAGCTGGCTGCGTGGGGTCTTCAAAGGCAAATAGAAATTGACTTTCCTCCGCCAAAGGCACTGAATAGAAGGCATCATTCAAATCAATTACTGAGAAATACTTGGCTCGTTCAGGAATTTCAGACAATGGAGTATAAGGATTAGGCACCACGGAGTGTAAAGGAACCACAGCCTCATTTATTATTCATAAATCTTGAACTAGTCACCATTTACCATTTGATTTCTTTATACCCAAAAGAGGAGTGTTGCATGGACTGTTACAGGGAATTAATAGTCCCTGCTCCTTTGAATTCTCAATGATGGGTTTTAACCGTTCCTTAACCTCAGGTTTCAGTAGATACTGCTTCTTATGTGGAAATAAGTGTAGGTCTTTGAGCTTGACCACAACAGGAATAGCATTTTGTGCTCGACCCGCAGATTTTTCATCAGCCCATACTCTAGGATTTACATTTTGTTCAATTAAAGGGAGAGAAAGGGAAGGCTCCATATTCATGAAAACAGAGGCATGGACCTTGCTCAGTAAATCTCTCCCCAAAAGGGGTGAGGGAGACTCTGGCACAATCAGAAACTCGTGTGAAAATAGCACAGAGTAACTCACAACTTACAGAAAAACTGAAGTAATACTTTTTGGCTCATCCAGACAGTCCCATTATGGAAGCGGATCAGGAAGAAAGTAGGCCAGGAGCTTCAGTAAGCACGGAGTAAGTTGCCCCAGTGTCTAAAAGGAAATCGACGGATTGGCCCCTCACAGTTATTAATACCCAGGGTTCCTCTGGTGTAATTAGGACGGGAGCTTGTGTGGGGGCCCCCGGGCCCCTTCAGTCCTGATTGTCTTGAGAGTCAGACCCCTGAAACCCACGCCTCTCGGGGCAGTCTCCCTTCCAGTGTGGTCCTTTGCAGACCGGACATGGAGCCGGGGTTGGCTTGGATGCCTGAGGGCAATCCCGCTTGAGGTGCCCCTCCTTTCCACAGTAATAGCAAGCCCATCCCTTTTCACCTGGGTCCCTCTGGGCACTTCTCTCAGGCTGTTTAAGAACGGTTTTCATAGCCATTGCGAGGGCTTCCACCTATTCCTTTGTCTTTCTCTGCCTTTCTTTCGTTTCCTCATATTCCCTACCATAATAGACTGTCTGAGCCAGTTGTAACAGAGTATCTAAAGACTGATTTGGTCCATACGGCAGTTTTAATAGCTTACAGTGGATATCTGGAGCCGACTGAGTGAGAAATCTATCCTTTAAGATCACTTTTCCCTCTTCACCTTCAGGATCAATCTCAGTGAATCTGCGAAGGGCTTCTCTCAGTCTATCTAGGAACTTACCAGGAGCTTCCTTCTCCTCCTGTTCTATGTCTACCAATTTGCTATAGTTTAAAGTCTTAGTACGAGCCTGCCTGAGTCCTCCAAGAATACATCTGACAAAATGATTCTGATCCCATCTTCCTTTAGCTATGTTGTAGTCCCAGTCTGGTTCTGTAATTGGGACCGCCTGATTTCCAGTGGGGAGGGCAGTTATCCATCCTCCCTCTTCCCTACTGATTCATTACCAAACCATTCATCTCCATAAGCAGCTGCTTTTCCCAAAACTCGAGTCTTTGAGTCGGGAGTCAGCGTTTGTCCCAAGATATACATCACATCCTTCCAAGTAAGGGCATAAAGCAGAGTAACACCTTTAAAAGCTCTAATATATTTTTCTGGGCACTCTAAATAGTCTCCCAGATCCTCCTTGATTTTTTGTATTTATTGATAAGAAAAAGGTTTATTAACTCTCATAGACTGATTATTTCTCCCAGTGGGTGCTTCATGAAGAGGCAACAGCTTGTGTGGCTGTTACTCAGTCTCTCTGGCTGCTCTGCACATACGATCCCAGGGATAGATTGGAGAAACCTGCTTTTCTTTATCTCTCTGTCTCCTGTCCTCCATCTCATCTAGCAAAGTAGGAGGACAGGAGGGAGCTGAAGGTGTCACACCCACATCTATACCCTTAGGACATAAGTCTGGCGTATTTCGCAGAGAGAAAAAGGGCAACACATGCTACTTCTACCCATTTTCCTTGTTGTCTACAGAACCCGTCCTCCAGTGGATACTGTGGCCGTGCAGTGTCACATAGGAAGAGCAGGTGTGTCTTCTTTAAGCCCTGGGGATCAAATCTATCCATTTTTCAGGATACAGTTCAGAGGAGTGAGGCTGGACTTGTTAGCTCCCATCTGTAAGAGAGAAAAAAAAGCGACCAGTGCCCTCTTTCTACCAGAGGCATCCCTCCCTACTCTAGATGGGGGGGTAGACAGACTTTACACCAAAGCTTTTCTTTCCTGGTCGGACTTAGTCTGTCCCTTACAGACGCAGGCCACATACTTGTTTCTTCCGGTTCTACCACCAAGATGGGGTGGAGATGCACCAGGTGTAGACCTGATGGCATCCCTAACTGATGTCCAGCTCCTCACCATTAAAACCTTGTTTGCCCCTGATGCCACCCGGGGTGCAATCAGAGTAACCTTCTGGAATGCCTCCCAGGCTAAGACTGCTGGGGGGAACATTCGGCACCTGGGTGCCTGTGCACGACCCTGAGTATATTCCTGACCACAATAAGACCGATATGAACATAAAACTGAGATGTTCCTTCCAAGCGTCACGCCACCAATATAAGAGTCTCCTCTGGTCCACTGGCATATTGAGTGCAGCACTTTCACAGGATCATCTTTCAGTATTTGAAATAGCTCAACTGGAATTCCATCAGATCCACTAGCTTTGTTCGTAGTGATGCTTTCTTTTTTCTTTTTTCTTTTTTTTTGTAACACTGAAAAACCATTCACTTTTATTAATCAAGATACATTAATTTTACACAGATGGAATAAAACCTTTTACAATTGTTGTTTGATCCTTGATTAAAATACACATTACAAGCTTCTAAAAACTTTCCTGTTTCTCTGATGAAATGATCTGAGAATGTGATTTATATGGTTAACAAAATGGAGGCTAATTTAGTAAACATGGATGGGCATTAATTATATTAATATGACTTCCAGAAAGTTTTCCAAACTTACATCAGATAGAAGAGAAGGTGTCCTTACTTCAAGCCTGTCAGATAATATGCATGATTTCTCTCTGTTGCTGTTATAAAAATACCTTACATTTTCATGAACTATCCTTGATTTATGCTTAAAAAGCAACGGACATAATTATTGAAAACTTAGAGCAAACTTCTGTCTTGCTTTGAATTATTCCCTGAAAGCTTACATCATGGTGACCACAGAGGTGTTTGACATCAGTGACAAATACCTCCATTCAGAGGTTTAGTGTGTATATAACATGACTGTGTAAATTTGGAGAATAAATGTAAATGATTCCCACTTAATATAGAAGGGCTTCTCTTACCATTGGGCAACAACCATCAAAAACATAAGTTCATAACACAGTACAAACAAATCACAGCATGTAGTAATTTGAGAGTTGAATTACATTCATTTTGGTTCCTTAATAATCTCAAATAACATTAACATAAACAAGGATACATTAATAATAATTATACCTCTGCAAATATCCATCCCTTCATCTTGTGATCCATAATAACATATCAATTTTGTATGTGTTTTACTTATGGAATACTTGCCACAGTGTTTCTGCTTCGAGTAATTCAACAAAAGTGGTACTAATGACATGCTTTCTAGTATGAATTCTCTGGTATTGAGTTACGTTTGATATTTGATTAAGCGGTTTTCTACATTTCAGTATGTATTCTGTGATTGTGAGTGAGGTGATGGCTGTGATGAAATGCTTTGCCACATTCCTTACATTTTTAGCATTTCTCTGCAGTATGAACCCTCTGATGTCGAGAAAGACCTGACCTCTGGGAAAAGGCTTTGCCATAGTCTGTACATTTATGTGGTCTCTCCCCAGTATGGATTTGTTGATGTTGAGTAAGACCTGAATAATGGATAAAGGCTTTGCTACATGCTGTACATTTATAAGGTCTTTCCCCAGTATGGATTCGCTGATGTTGAGTTAAATTTGAACTCTGCTTAAAAGCCTTGCCACATGATGTACATTTATAAGGTGTCTTGCCAGTATGAATTCATTGATGTTGAGTAAGAAGTGAATAATTGATAAAGACTTTGCCACAGTCTGTACATTTATAAGGTCTCTCCCCAGTATGGATTCGCTGATGTGGAGTTAAGGCTGAACTTTGCTTAAAAGCCTTGCCACATGCTGTACATTTATAAGGTCTCTCCCTAGTATGGGTTCGTTGATGTCCCGAGTCAGAACTGAATAATGGATAAAGGCTTTGCCACATTCTGTACATTTGTATGGTTTCTCCCCAGCATGGATTCGCAGATGTTCAGTTAAAGATGAACTCTGATTAAAGGTTTGGCCACATGCTGTACATTTGAAATGTTTCCTTCCTATATGAATTTTTCTATGTCTACTTAGATTTGGTGAGTCACTAAAGACTTTTCCACTTGTATTACACTTGCAATGTTTCCGCTTAGTCTGAATATTGTGCTGTTGAATAAGTTTTGAAGACTGGTTAACAACTTTACCTTAATCATAACAATTATAAGTCTTCTCTTCAACATCCATACTCTTATAAGTACTAATAGTAAGATTTGAGCTTTGATAAAATATATTCCTACACTTATGATGTTAAGAATTGTTGTCTGAAAATTGATATCCCCGTTGTTTCAGGAGATATGAGTCTTGGTCCACATTATGCCCAGTTTCATTGCATGAAGAGGTTCTCATTCCATCATGTATATGGGGGTAGAGTTCCTGCTTAAGGCATTCCTCATTTTGTTACACTTGGAAAGTTGTTCCACACTAATTATACCTCCATATGTATTGAACAATGATGGTTGAATAAGGTCTCTCCCATTATTACCAACATTACAGATTTTGGAACAAGGAGAAAATAGTTGTTGGTTGAAGAACAAGAAACCCGTGTTAAAGTATCCCTCAAATTGAGTGTATTGGGAATTTCCCCCCTCATTTCTAAGTTTCTGGTTTTCAGACGTGTTTGAATGTATATTTAATAGACAGCTATGCTCAGAGTACAGGTTTGAATGAGTATTTGCAGTAGAGACTAGATGACTTTCCAGATTTTCCATATTTCCCTTCAGAGAACATGTATGTTTCAACAGATGATGTGGATCTTTGCTGACAAATATACACTTAACTGCAGATGTTGATGACTCAAATTGCTCATCTGAAATTGGTTTTTCCTTATTTGATTCACATCCTTGATTTCTTTTGGCGGTAAGGTTTACTTTATGGGAAACTGTACCAACTTCGTTGTGTCCATTATAACATGCTCTCCGCTCTTTATATGCCCTCATAGATTCCCAGGCATTGGTTAAATGTAAATTTCCAAGGTGAAATCTTTCATATATTCCTAGCTTTGCTGTTGGGAGTAAATCTTCTAAGCCTGGCTTTTGGGTCCTCAAATCCTGGGTATCGTGAGAAGACACAGCTGAGAAGCTGCCATTTCCTCCTCTTCTTCCTCCTGCTCTGCGTCTTCTCCGGGGGTGTTATGTCGCAAACTCACACCTGCATCTTGAGAAAATACCTTCAGAGGCATCCATGCAGCTGTTTAACATGCAACTGCTGCAGGGAAAGAGAAGAAAAAGTTTTCCTGTTTCCCTCACCCTTTTCTGAGCTCCTTCTCGACTTTCTGCGTTCCCAATCTGTAGTGGGGAATCAAGACTAACCTGCTAATGCTCTAGTGATGCTTTCTAAAGCCCACTTGACTTCACATTCCAGGATGTCTAGCTCTAGGTGAGTGATCACACCATTGTGATTATCTGGGTCGTGACTGTGATTATCTTTTTTGTACAGTTCTTCTGTGTATTCTTGCCACCTCTTCTTAATCTCCTCTCCTTCTGTTAGGTCCCTGCCATTTCTGTCCTTTATTGAGCCCATTTTTACATGAAATATTCCCTTGGTATCTAATTTTCTTGAAGAGATCTCTAGTCTTTTCCATGCTGTTGTTTTCCTCTATTTCTTTGCATTGATCACTGAGGAAGGCTTTCTTATCTCTCCTGGCTATTCTTTGGAACTCTGCATTCAAATGGGAATATTTCCTTTTTTCCCTTGCTTTTCGCTTCTCTTCATTTCACAGCTATTTGTAAGGCCTCCTGAGACAACCATTTTGCCTTTTTGCATTTCTTTTCCATGGGGATGGTCTTGATCCCTGTCTCCTGTACAATGTCACGAACCTCTGTCCATAGTTCATCAAGCACTCTGTCTATCAGATCTAGTCCCTTAAATCTATTTCTCACCTCCACTGTATAGTCATAAGGGATTTGATGTAGATCATACCTGAATGGTCTAGTGGTTATCCCTACTTTCTTCAGTTTAAGTCTGAATTTGGCAATAAGGAGTTCATGATCTGAGCCACAGTCAGGTCCAGGTCTTGTTTTTGCTGACTGTATAGAGCTTCTCCATCTTTGGCTGCAAAGAATATAATCAATCTGATTTCAGTGTTGACCATCTGGTGATGACCATGTGGAGTCTTCTCTTGTGTTGTTGGAAGAGGGTGTTTGCTATGACCAGTGTATTCTCTTGGCAAAACTCTATTAGTCTATGTCCTGCTTCATTCTGTCCTCCAAGGCCAAATTTGCCTGTTACTCCAGGTGTTTCTTGACTTCCTACTTTTGCATTCCAGTCCTCTATAATGAAAAGGACATCTTTTTTTGGGTGTTAGTTCTAAAAGATCTTTTTAGGTCTTCATAGAACCATTCAACTTCAGCTTCTTCAGTGTTACTGGTTGGGGCATAGGCTTGGATTACCATGATATTGGATGGTTTGCCTTGGAAACAAACAGAGATCATTCTGTCGTTTTTGAGATTGCATCCCAAGTACTGCATTTCGGACTCTTTTGTTGATTATGATGGCTACTCCATTTCTTCTAAGGCATTCCTGCCCACAGTAGTAGATATAATGGTCATCTGAGTTAAATTCACCCATTCCAGTCCATTTTAGTTCGCTGATTCCTAGAATGTTGATGTTCACTCTTGCCATTTCCTGTTTGACCGCTTCCAATTTGCCTTGATTCATGGAACTAACATTCCAGGTTCCTATGCAATATTGCTCTTTATAACATCATTTACAACTTGCTTCTATCACCAGTCACATCCATAACTTGGTGGTGTTTTTGCTTTGGCTCCATCCCTTCAATCTTTCTGGAGTTATTTCTCCACTGATCTCCAGTAGCATATTTGGCACCAACCGACCTGGGGAGTTCATCTTTCAGTATCCTATGTTTTGCCTTTTCATACTGTTCATGGGGTTCTCAAGGCAAGAAAACTGAAGTGGTTTGCCATTCCCTTCTCCAGTGGACCACATTCTGTCAGCAGTGGCCACAGGACTGGAAAAGGTCAGTTTTCATTCCAATCCCTAAGAAAGGCAATCCGAAAGAATGCTCAAACTACCACACAATTGCACTCATCTCACACGCTAGTAAAGTAATGCTCAAAATTCTCCAAGCCAGGCTTCATCAATACATGAACCGAGAACTTCCAGATGTTCAAGCTGGTTTTAGAAAAGGCAGAGGAACCAGAGATCAAATTGCCAAT